CATCTGGCCTCTAGCCAGGGTCAAACCACCAACATGCGAGTACTACCCTTTACAACTGGACTATCTCGTGCTACTGTTCACAAGCCACTCTGGCCAAATTACTTGCACTTCAAATTTCTGGAATGGCAAAATGAAGACACCTACATGCCCTTATAAACCTCCCTTCCACGTAGCCAAAGACTACCAAAGCTAGAAAGCTCAGCACATTGTCACTCCTTGCGGAGGACAGATGGTGGCTCCCCAGGATCCCACCTGGACATGCAGGAGCCCTGTTCCAGGCGCTGCAGAAGCTGTCGGGGCGTGACGAGTTAGGCACTGCCAGAGACGAGCTGGTATCTCAGTTATGGTTGGAAGCTGCAGTTTACCCACACGCTGGTCACTCGGTTCCAGCCCAGTTACTTTACCCAGAGTGCAGAGCTGGCCACAGACTGTGAACTCCTTCAGATTTCATCTGGAATCACGCAGCCGCTTTTGCAGCAGTGTGGAGCTGACAGGCCATACCACGGCCATATATAATTATATAGCAAGTATCTGAAAGACCTTTTCCAAGACCTATTAAATCAGCATGCTTTGCTTTACCTTTGCTATTCAGCACTTCTGCACCTGTACAATGCACGTAACATTGCAATACTCCTGTATTTTATTTTAATACTAGTTAAGTCAATTAATGATTGTCACAAAAAATCACTTGCTATAGATGATGTGAGTTGTTCCAGTCCAGAACTAAAATGTCCATGTGAAAATTAATTCCATGTTCAAGGCCAGGTTGGATGAGGTTTTGAGCAACCTGGTCTAGTGGAAGGTGTCCCTGCTGATGGCAGGGGGGCTGGAACTGGATGAGCTTTAAGGTCCCTTCCAACCCAAACCAGGCTGGGATTCTGTGATTCACGAAGGAATCTTGACATTGTGCACAAAATGCAGGTTGGGGCTATGCACTGAATAACCAAGGGAAAAAAATAAAATATTGAACAGTCACTTAGTACCTGAATGCCATCCACTCTTTGCACTGAACTGGACACCTGTCTCTGGAAAAGGCAGCATAAACTTCAGGTTAAAGACTTATAATGGTTATTCAAAGGAGTGAGACTGGTGGAACCAGAGCCACACCAGTAGCTTAATGTGCCATTGCTACCTTTCTTTTATTTGCTTTTAAACATTTAACTTTGAAATGTGGATATTCTATGTTATAATTTTCTGTGCAAGGTTTTCCCATTTTTTTCTGCAGCAAACTGGAAACAGTCTCCAGAAGTTCCATCAGGTGGATTCCTGTCAATGCCTCTGTGGCTCACCTGCAGCATCAGAATAATTCAATATAACATATCTGCCTTTGCTGTTTGAGCTGAATAATGGTACAGCAGCAGTTTAACATCCTGCAGATATTAGCAGACTGTCAACAGCAAAAGGTTACAGGACAGCTGGCCAATGAGGAATATGCTGCCTGAAGAGGAATGAAGAGATTCATCAATCTCATACTTCCACTAAACAGCCACACTCATTTATTATCTCTCAGTATCATCTATTTGCTTCTTCCCTCTCAAGAGTTGTGCGTTTTTTTCCTTCCTAATCTCTCCTAGGCCAGGAAGATCAGCACTGCTTGGGCTTGTTGTCCTCATACCCAGAAAGTATGAGACTCCTCCCTCCAAATCTAGCTGCAGCTTCAATTAAGAGAGAAATCCAGCTCAATTCCAGGCAGAAACATGTCAGGATATATTTATAATTCCAGAAACAAGCCCCCAAAAGTCTCTACTGCACATGTTATATGGAGGCTTCTAATTCTTCTGGAAGTACTTCCCAACCTTTGGTCATGGCTGTCAGACTGCTTAAAAAAGGGCAGCCTCCTCCTCCAAGGGCTGTGGCACCATGTGCCCACTGACATTTCCTTCACCCAGTAAATTGGGTTTATAACCAAGCTGGGGTATTTGCATGGATTTTTTTTTAATCTTTTACAAACTTTCCAGTGGCAGACTTGCCAGTGGGTTATCATTTAACGCTTGAGAGATATTGCTAGAGTATGAAACAATACAGGTCCTTTCTCACCCCACACTTGCTGAAAAAATATTGACAAGTTGCCTGTGGAGCTTCCCCATACCCCTTACAAAAATAATGTAATATTAAACCTACGTTGTTTGTTCTAGTTGTTGATTATTCTTCTTCTTCCTTGGAGGCTTCTTCTTCTTCGGCTTGTTGGCATTCTGATTATTTTGTTTGTTGTTCACACCGAAGTGTCCTGCTGATATATCACTTTGTAGAAGGTTAACCAAGAGCGGACTTGTGAGTGTAACATCTTTATTGACAGGAAAAACAGGATTCTGCCCACAGGAAATCTGATTCCCATTTGGCGTTCCACTAAACCCCGTACTGAAAGGCAGCCCGTGGCCAGAGAAATGACTCCCTGAAGCATTGTTGTTTCCTTGCATGGCTTGCATATGAGAAGGCACCATGTTTGGCTGCTGCACGGGAACATCAGGTAACATCTGCGTCATGTTCACATCATTATTTGTTGTAGCAGTAGTATCCCCAAGTTGCTGAGATATGTGAGGACCAGGTCCAGTGGGTCGTAAAACTTGCCCTTGAATTCCCATAACCTGAGAAGGATTACCATTCACAGAGCCCTGCTGTGCCATCATCTGCCCAGAGAACTGCACCATGTTTCCTTGCATGTTTGGGGTTGGTCCTCTCATCAGTTGAGCTGGCCCCGTCATAACATTGGACTGGTTTTGAGTACTAAAAGGCTGTTTATTTCCTTGCATCTGAGTGGTCATCATCTGTTCCATCATTGAGTTTTGCTGTAGCAAGACCTGGCCCTGAGGTCCCATCATCTGATTGTGTGTAGACATCATCTGTTGTCCTTGCTGGGGAATCATCTGTTTTGGTGGGGTCATCCTTTGTGGAGAAGGACCGAGATTTTGGTTTTGTGGTGTCACCACCATTTGGCCTTGTGGCATGAGCTGAGTTCGAGAAAGTATCATCTGGTTTTGAGGGTTCAGCGATCCCTGAGCCTGAATGTTCACCATCTGTCCTTGGGAGGATACAATTTGCTGATGCATTCCCATAAGCTGAGACTGTGGTCCTTGCTGAGGCTGTCCCTGTATGTTGCCCATGTTAACTTGTGGCACCCCACTAGCACCAGCCTGCTGGTTGTTCATATTCCCATGAAGTCCCATTAGATTGGTCTGCATCATATTTGGTGGCCCATGTGGTGCTTGCATCTGATTTTGAGGAGGTCCAGATCCTTGGCCACCTAAAAAAAAAAAAAAAAAAGAAAGTTGCCAGTAAGAAACTGATTGGAGTGGTGTAAGAGTTTTCACAACTTTTGACACTGAGGAAGTACGCTAAAATTGTTTTCCTTTTTCCAATGAACTGGAACATATTTGCAGTCCTGTGATGCAACATTTGATTTTACAGGTACATGTTAGGTGTCAAAACAGAACATCATACTTCTCAAAATAAACACTTCGATGGGTACTTGCCCACTACAGAACACACAACAGAAATTTAATTTCTGCTGTTACCTGTACATAAGTTTGAAAACTTTCCATAATATCACCTAAGTCAGCAGAATAATACTTATCCAATATAAGCTTCAAACCCTGAGGTTATCTTATAATGGGTTAAAAAATAAATATGCATAGAGTACTCATGAAATGGTATTACCAAGGTCTATTAGATTACTAAGTCTATTAGACAAAAGACTAATAATCAAATTGTTAAATGGAGACATTTGTGAACTAAAGATTTAATTTTTACAGCACTGACTGTAAGTAGACTTCCAGAGCCTTCAAAGGAACTAATAATCTTTTCAAAGCAGAAGAAGATTATTTTGTTGCTCTGCTTCTAAGATAATAGCATTCACTTTCTTTTTTTTTTTTTCCTCTGGACAAAAGTTCCTTTTGTGCTGTATCTTTATTACCTCCAGCCTCCAAATTTCGATGCTACTTCTGTTCAATTTCTTAACAAATACTTCTGGATTCTAGGATCAGAAGTCCAGGATCACATTCCTAATCAATAATAGCTGGGTTGTTCAAAAAACCATGAGCAGCCTCCTGCTTTTCTCCTCATTTAGCAACATGCACAGAATGCCCCTGCAGCCCCAGCTACCTATTCATGGTACGAGTTTAATGCTTTGGTGTCTGTGTTACACAAGTAAAAGTATAATTTTCTACAAAAAAGCAAAAACATTCCAAACAGACCTGCGTGCTGCACGTTTTGGCTCGTTTGCAGCTGCGGTGCTCCGCTGTTCACTGGTGTTCCTGGAGCTGTGGAAGGCACCTGACCTTGCATGAAGTTCTGGTTAGCCTGGCCTGCAGAGAACCCTGGGGGGAGGCGCTTGGGTATTCCTGAACACAAGAGTTTGCTTATTAGTATGTATGGAAAACAGAAAGGAAATAAAGAGAAAATTGGAGTATGATAGGAGGAATACCTTTGAGTCTGTAATGCCCCATTACAGATTTAGGCAGAAAGTGATTTTTGCCAATATACAAAACCCACTGAAGACATTTACAGTTCTTATCTGTGCAATAATTCTGCCTAACAAGCTACGAGGACTCAGTTCAAACTATAATTTAAGTACAAAACTTACCCCACAGAGAAGGTGTCGAGTCCATGTTTGACTTTTGAGAAACTAGAAACTGCAGTAACATGGTTTTGCTGTTTTCTTCTCTGCTGCATCTCAGCTCTAACCAGGCCCTTAGCTTACTCCATGTATGCAAACACAAATAACTTGCATTTTTGTTACCGTGATGTGCCCCTCAACAACTCTCACCATCACACACCACGTACGCGCCCCTTAGCACTGCTGCTGTGTGTACACAGTCAAAATAACTTCTCAACCCTCACGTAACCTCAGGAGACAGCGTGTCCAGAGTCCAGAACGGCTGCTCATTGAAGTGATCCTGCTATTCCTACTGCAAGAGCGAGTGATTCCATCAGGCCCTTATCTGGCACAACACCCACACTTTGACATATCAAAACATCACCACTGCCTTGGGACAGAGAGCAAAACCTTCCCTCTACCTACCAACATGAGCAGCAGCATAAATGGATTTAACAGAACGTGCTTCTTTTTAACTCACTGTCAAATACACAGTGAGTGGCGCCACAGACCAAGAAGCAACCCTGTCCTCCCTCATTTTTCTGACCCATGATACGCAGCCAGAATTTTACTTTGGTTCCTTCTACAATTACAGATTTATTGCATACATAATTGTACCCCTTGTGTTAATTAATCTGTTTGTAGGTTTGTAGTTAATATTTCAAGAGAATCAATTTACAGGTCAAACAGTAAGACACAACTGCAAATATGGAACATAAACTTCTTGAAACATCACCGGACTATTGTTTTAATTTTGCTAAACTTTAATTAAAGTTTTGCACATAGGTACGTTTGAACTGAGAAAAAAAAAAAAAAAAGTGTTAGCTTGGTCTATTCCAAGTCTAATATAAATTCTGATTTGCTAAATTAACCAGGTGAAATGGAAAGTGTTTGAATGTATTCATTTACATCAAACCTTTAAATGCAAGATGGCTTAAAAATTGAAAGATCCAGAATTACAACTTAATTAACATACAAATTGCAGCAAGGAATGAGCATGCACAGAAGCCAAGCAAAGATCTCAGCAAGTGGAAGCAATTCAGCTTTGCTGAAACCAATGGAATCCTTACTTTGTAAATCAGCTGACAGCAGGATCACTGATTTTAGCAGTAAGGTCTACAATGAGTCCAAATAACGTATTTTGATAGTTTATTTGGGGTATTTAGCTCAAAAAAGTAGGGTTTTGTTCGTAGTAGGTTTACTTAGAAAGGAAGGAGAATACAGGGGTTATACTATCTAGAGGTCATGGCTATGCTACCCAGAGGAAATAATTGATGGGCACATAGGGCTGGTGAGGCAAACCTTTTGTAGGGAAATGTGACTATAATAAATAATAACTAACTGCTTCCAGATGGAGACAAGATAAGATATGCCAAGTACAGGGCACTGGCAGATCCTAAGAACAGTCTGGAAGAGGAGAACCTTGAAACTGAGACAATTAATATGAGTCAGATTAATCTGAATTCAAATGAGACCCATGGTACAAACAGTGAAAACAAGAAGCTTGTCCAGATCAGCAGACCAAGAAGCGGGTATTCCTTACAGCTTTTTGGACAGGTTTCAGATGTACAATAAAAAATATATATGTGTGTGTAGGTGGACAAAGAATATGGCTTATATTTTATAAGTACAGAAATAAAGTATTTTAAAGGCTTAAGTAAGAGTTTGTGTATGGGTATCTGAGAGCAGCCATTCAAGAGAAAGATGAACAAATGACTGAGCAGAGAGGAGTGATACAAGTCTGGCACAGAACTACAAAAGGTTCAAGGGAAAAAAACACCAAGGACACAAAAGAGATCTTGGTTGACAAATGTAATTCCTTCACTGTTAGAGAAGAATTCTAGGAGTAGTAAGTAAAAAATGTGAGTGCAGATGTCCAAGGAGAAAACTAAAGACAACACAGACAAAGGGGAAGGTAAAACATGCCTTGACTTCTTCATTTTAGAATATGGAGTACAACAGCATGGCAAAAATAGCTCAGTTCTCTTTTATATGGGAAGAAACTGATGACAAATGAAGACAGGGTCAAGAAGAGACATTTACAACTGAGAAAGGAAGACGGAAAATAATGCCTCACTTCCATAGCAGAAAATGTAAATGTTGACAGAGGAAGCTGAAGAGAGAAGGAAAATGTTCATTTGTTTTTATCACACTCACTCTCCTCTTTCAGAAAAAAAAAAAAAAAAAAAAAAAAATCACTCTCCTCACATGAAAAAAGAACAACACTAAACTAAACCTAAAAACCCCACAGCATCTCTGAATATCCTGAACTCGCTCAAAGGCAACAGAAGAATTGCCAAGAGAACGACTGGCAGTCAGAGCCAGCAGCTGCGTACAGCAATTTCCTTCTGCAGTGGCCCACAGTCCAGCCTCAGGTCATCGCTGTGACACTGCAGGACAGAGACAGGCAGCAGAAATGAAGTGATGCTGATGCCAATTCAACCATACCCACTTCATCCTCAATCTGTGCCTTTACTCTGTCTTTTAAAGAATCTTTTCAAAACTAACATCAACATTAGTTCTAGCCATTTTATGTTTCTTTTCTTTTTAAAATAAAAGAACACCTCAGTACTTCTTACCTCCTAAGCCAGGGTGTAAACCTTGTGGACCTTGGTTTTGCTGCTGCATCACCATGAAGTTGGGGGGTACATTCCCCTGTTGCACCATAGGATTGCGACTAGGAGAACTGACAGGCTGCTGAAATCCCTGGGGAAGCGTGCTACTTTGGGGAGGCCTTGGTCCCATCTGCTGCTGCGTCTGGTTAACTGTTGGAGATGATGCAGGAGATCCCTGCTGGAAGGAGGAGGGAGAGGAAGCAGGAGACTTGTTGGTCAGGTGGGGTTGTTGTAGTGGCGTAGGAACCCGTGAGGGCCCTCCCTGAAGGCTTTTCATTTGAGGAGCAGTAAACTGGCCAGGATTGCTCATTTGGGGAAAGTTTGAGTGAGCCTGGGAAGCTTGCTGGCTTCCAAAAGGATATGGAGGTGGAGGATGAGTAGGAGTTTGTACTGTTGCTAGAGATGGTCTTGCTTGAAGTTGCTGTTGCATTTGTCCAGGCAACGGGGCCTTTTTCCAACCCTGGTTTACTGTCAATGAATTCAACGCTCCCTGGGTTGGAGGAGGCTGAAGTGCTCCAGAAGGAAGCTGGTTCCAGCCAGGGGGAACGGGAACCTGTGCTGGTGAAGTAAATGAAGGTCGAATACCCTGCTGTGGCTGCTGATGTGGCTGGGGAGGACGTGTCTGCAACTGCGTCTGCTGCTGTAGCTGCTGAAAGTTGGCTGAGTTCATCTGCCTGTTTACAGGAACTGACTGCATTGAATGGAGCTGGGGAGCTAAAGATCCAGATGGATGATTTTGTTGCTGCATATTTAGCCCAGATAAGAGTGGGTCCATTGCATCTATTAAAATAGCAAAGAAAAGTAAAAAAAAATAACCTACTGTAAACAAAACCCACCCCAAAACAAGAAAGGGTAAATCGTTTGCTTGCATTTGCTTACTCTGCATAAAAATTCACGCTCCAGTGTTCCAATTTCTCCAACAGACAGAAGAGGCAATGCTCTAAAAGTTTTCAAAATGCTTGGGAATCCTGAGAAGCCAGGTTTTATCAATTTATAACATCTACAACATAGCACAATAGCTCTACAGCCCTTGCTGTTACAGACTAATGTAAGCCTTCTACGCACTTAGAATCGTAGAATCATAGAACACTTCAGGTTGGAAGGGACCCATAAGGATCACTGAGTCCAACTCCCTGCTCCTCGCAGGACTACCTAACACTAAACCATATGACTAAGAGTGTTGTCCAGACGCTCCTGGAACTCTGACAGGCGTGGTGCTGTGACCGCTTCCCTGGGGAGCCTGTTCCAGGGACCGACCACTCTCTCAGTGAAGGACCTTTGCTGAATGTCCAATCTGAACTTCCCCTGATGCAGCTTCATTCCATTTCACCGTGTCCTATCACTGGTCACCAGAGAGAGGAGATCAGCGCTTCCCCCTCCACTGCCACCCTTGAGGAAGGTGTAGACTGCGATGAGGGCACCCTTCAGCCTTCTCTTCTCCAAGCTGAACAAGCCAAGTGACCTCAGCCGCTCCTCCCGAGTCTTGCCCTTGAGACCCTTCACCATCTTGGTCGCCCTCCTCCAGACACGCTCTAATAGTTCTATGTCCATCTTCTATTGAGGCGCCCAAAACCGCACACAGACCTCGAGGTGGGGCCACACCGGTGCAGTGCAGAGTGGGACAGTCACCTCCCTCGGCAGCTAGTGATGCTGGACTCGATGCACCCAGGGCACGATCGGCCCCTTTGGGTGCCAGGGCACACTGTTGACTCGTATTCAACTTGCCATCAACCCAGACCCCCAGATCTCCTTCCGTGGGGCTGCTCTCCAGCCTCTTGTTCTCCAGTTTGTACATATAACCCACTTGTTGGGGCTATTTTCCCTACCAGTTAAAAAAAGTGGCATAAAGAGGAATTAAAGTAGTATAATAAACTAACATTCCCAGAATATTTAAAACTTTTTATGAAAAAAGCTCTCTGTAAGACTAAACACTGCAGAGATCTACAGAATTTGGAAGAACTGCCACCATTTTATGGAATGGCAAGTAATAACCCCGTGTCTTTTTCTGTAGTCCCAAAATGCAAGTAACTTGTACTGACAGAACTGTGCAGAATAAACCCTAATGTTCAAACCCCCAGATCCCCAATCTCTAAACTTCCAGTCTACCTCTCCCTTCTGAAAACCACTTGCGCTCAGTCTGGTGCATTTGCTTCCTACTGGAGACATCTGCCAGATTCAACCAATCCTTCTCTTACCTTTAGCTAAACACAAATCTCAGTCACAACAGTTCAATGGCAAAAATACCACTGTCGCTGCTCCACTCATTTGAATAAAATACCAAGCAAGCTGGCAACTCACTAGGCACCCAAATTATTTAAACAGTTTTACCAGATTAATGGGGGCAGGGAAGGTTCCACAGGAAGAGTAACTCCCAGAAAGGGCAGGGGAAATACTCCAGGACAATTCTGGAGTACTCTTCTATAAGAGTACATGCTCAAGCCTGTGTGTCAAAGAATAAAAACTCAAGAACATTTTCAGGTCAGTATTGTGACTAAGTTTTACCACCTGGCTGTGAGGAAGGCCGAGGTGTTCTTGGCTGCAGCTCAGCACTAGCACCACTTGCCACCATAGAGGAGGGCACATTTCCACTCTGGGACATCATGACAGCTGCAGCATTGCTCATTCTTATTAAACCTTAAAAAATAAAAATAAAAATTATCAAGTCTTGTAGTTTTTATGTAGAGAAGAATTTTAGGGATTTTTTAACAAGAAAAAAGTATTTGTTAATAAAACATTTCTTTAGACTTTAAGAATTGTTTTTCTGAAATAACCTGAGGACATGTATCTCCATCTGAAAGCTTAGATTCCCTGTTATAAAACAAACAAGTTGAGTTGAAGCTTTTCCTTTAGCACCAGACCTTTAAAAAGGCTGCAGAAGGAAACACCGTGGCCTCCTGAATTATTTGAGCCTGACTTGCCACTAAAGTCACCAAGTGACAAGACTGTATCAAAGTTACACATGTACTAGGGTTTTTGCAAAATCTGATACTACAAAGCCACCAAGGTGTTGTAAGAGAGAAAAATCTCAATGTTTCACTTCCACAGGCTGTTGTTTTAAAAAATGGTTTCTATTTCTGACCTGTTAGTTATATTGTTGTTATATCTGACTTTTCTAGTTAAAAATTACTTATCACGCATGTACAATACTCTAAAATGTGGTTTAATAAAACTACACCTCTCCACAAAAATTAATTCTCTATCGTCAGATCTCAAAAGTTTATCAGAAAATAAGAAGAGAGACTAATGACAGCATCCCGTCCTTCCAATAATTATAATGGATTTAATAAAAAATAGTTTATTATTGTACACTGAATAAAGGCTTATACTCATTTTCATAAAAGGAGCCAAACAGAAAACTGGAACTTGTGCACATTTCAAATTGAATTCACTGTGCTACTCATCTCCTTTTATAGTCTTTATGTAAAAAACAAACCAAAACAAAACACCAAAGCCAAAACAAAAACCCAAACTACCGAACCCTAAAAAAAACCAACTGCCAAACCCTCAAAAAAGCCCAAACCAAACTAATCTGCCCCGCCCAGATCACTCCAATGTTTGTGGGACAAAATGCAGCCAACTATTTAGTTTACATAATATGGGACATGGTTTGACAGTACAGAAACAAGAACACACATTAATTAAAATGGCAATTTTAATGCTGCAAATAACTGTTGCTATAATCAGTGAAATTTTATTATTGCCTAGTAACAAATTTAAAAACATATAAAGCTAAATAAATAAAAATCAAAGGGATTTACCTTGTCCCCCTTGCATGGGAAACCCCGTTTCCATTCGCACCAAGTTGCTTGCTCCCAGGGGCCCGTTGATTCTCACATCTTGGCTTCTGTTTTGAGCTAAAGCTAAATTGATAGCACCTTCCCCTAAAAGTAACGCACAGTCTGGGTGAACTGAATGATACACAGAAAAGCAGACTACAGACATTTTCAAAAAGATTTAAAAGATGTCAAGGAAGGAAGGACAAACTTTACCTACAATGCACAGTTATGCATCATACTACCCTTAACTTCTGGATTCCAATTTTAAGAAAAACATCACATCAAGCACTAAATGCCCTTGGTTTCATCCTCCGTGTGCTCTTGGACAATTGTCCAGAATGGATATTTTAATTGTGAAATCCACAGAAAACTTGTTTTTAAGAAAGCTTTATATGAAACAATTTGGGGGAAAAAAAATAGGGCACATTTTGCTAGCTAACACTCAAAAAAATGTTTTTCAGGAGACTTCCTGATGCTCAGAGGATTTTCAGTTATCATTTTTATTATTCAACCTGTTCTTTAAAGAGTCTTTCACTATCTTTTCACTGAAGTAATTCTCCAAATTACTAAATGAGAAGTTTTGCAACTTTAGCCAAGTACATAAAATCGCTTGTTGAGTATACTTAAAATTTAGCTTAATGCCTTTGGAAACAAATTAGGTGTGAAATACCTTCAATTTGAACGGAGAGAATTCCCAGGTCACGAAGCTGTTGGTTATTATTCTGAGCCAGAATTCGCAGCCGCTCAGCAGCCTCACGGGGTATATTGAACGTAACGCGGACACTGTTCCAAGGCTCTACCTTCTGCAGTTTTAACTTGTTGGATTCTTAAAAGGAAAATGGCCCGAGTCAGCACAAAGGCAGTTTTTAAACAAGTATGATGAGGTAACTTAGTAAAAAAGCACAGCTGAAAAAACTGAAACAATTATTTGGCTTTGAAAATCATCAGTGGTTAGTCTCAGGTAGAAGAGACTTCTCCAGCACAGGCACACAGTGATGGATCCTGCCAAACCACTTCAGGCATTTTCCAAAAACCAGCAATATAAAATCTACCCAATTGATAAACCAACACCATAGCCAACACAAAAACTTCATAATATTACTCAAAAATTGAAATATTCTGAGGATAAACTGCTTTGCAAAGATATGAAAATATCTAATAAAACAGATATAACAAATCTGTTCGTGAACCAGATGGATGTGTGAAAAAACTGAATACAAGAATAAAACCCTCATTCTTTAAATATTCGCTCTATGAACACTTGTGAAACCACTTCTTTTCAGAAAGGCCAGTGCCAACACAATCCTAGCAGTATGTCATTAATTTCTACCATATTATTTAATTTTTTGGAATAGGTATGTTCAACCCACTGCAAAAAAGCATATTGAAGTCATGCCAAGTATTTAGTTGCAGGTTTTCTGACAATATATTCTACATATGAGTGTTTCTACCTAGATCAGGTGTTTTAAAACTAGTAGATGGGAATTAGTAAAAAGGTAGGGCAGTCACGTTGGATGTATTTATCTGAGTGGTACCCAACTAAATTACTGCTACAAAATGCATTTAAGGATAATTAAAAAGATACTCCTCATACAGGTTTCTAAGCTTCCAGTTTCTAGCTTTCTGAAAAAGTCCCTTTGAAAACAGTAAACACTGGCACAAATTTTAATCATCTAGTTCTTCCCCTGTAATATCAGATTTACTAAAAGTCTGCTAACTTTTTGATTCTGAAGAACACGCCACTTAAGAACGCCAATAACTCACTCCTATTTAGGAATCTCTTGTCCTTAATTCACCAAGTCCCTCCTGCTGCCACAGTAACAGTATCATTAAATTCACCCTCTTTCTACTTATAAACATGTTTTTGACTGGAAACATGACAGAATCCGTTTTAAAACCTCCTTTTGTGGAGGTCTGACCAGTCCTATATTTACTGTTACTAATGTTCCAACGTTTTACATATAAAAATTGCATTAGCAGTTTCAGTATTTCTAGATATGAGTACCCCCGTTTCTTGTTTTTCAAACACTGCATCTGCTAAGTCTAAACTGAAGTTATTTACTAACTCAACATTCTGAATCCTATTTTGCTCTGAATCAGTTTAAATAACTTGTCACATTAATAATTTTCAAGTTAATTTTGACACTAATTTTAGAAATCTGCTTTCTCAGCTGAGGTCTGAATCATGTTTATGAATCCTGCCATTAATATTTGTAACAAACACAGCACGCAGATGCCTCCATATAACAAAGGTAACTACGTACAGCTACAGATTGAATTCGTTTCCATTCAAAAACTACACAATTAATCTATGGTGTCAACACATATCCTTTTACACCAGTAACTATCTGTTAGTTTTATGTCTACTTCCAACTGTTTATAAGATACAGCTCAAAACAGTGTTATTTCTTCATAGTATTTTTGTCTTATCCCAGCATTTTATCTCCCCGAGGGATAATGGCAAGGACCTTGACAACTGAGGCCAGACTGGACACAACTGACTACAACTGGGAAAAAATGCAAAGAAAAGAACAAGGTAACAAGGACATTCAGGTTGGTTATTCATAAGTCATGGGTTATTTTTCTGAAAAGGTATTTTACATTATTGAAAAAACAAGCAACGCAATGATCATTTTAAAACCTAACCTAGAAATTAGTTTTGGTTTAAACACAAAGACTGTCTGCCTGAAGAAGAAAGGTGGTGGCTTCACTGCATGGTGTGATTTCAAACGACCATGCGATAGAAGAGCAGCGTGCAGGGACCCACAGTTATCAGCAAAAGCTTGGTTCACAAATAGCAGAAAGAAGGAGAGAGGGAGTGTACAGGCAATTCTGTGGCTTTCACACTGCCCTTACATGACATCAGCAAGACAGATCATTGCTGCTCTGGTCCCAGTCTCCACAGCTCTTCTGGTTACGTGTTCCTACCACCACACTTAAGGCAACTCGCCTGGCTTTGTCCGTTTCTATAGCAAACTATACTAATGGCAAGAAATTAAGCTGTTAACCTGACCATTCAAGTAACAGCAGATGAGATGCACTGCTGGGAACACTGGCGGGGGGAAGGGAGCACAGTATTGATCCCAAACCACCACAACACTCCACCCTTACCAAGGGAGGGCTGTCTATAAAGAAAGATTGTACTCGTACAAGCAAGACTAAGTAAATGAGCAGCTGTAAGTGATCATCATAAGACCCTTTGCACAGATGCTCAAACAGTGGATGGATGTCTTCTTCCAGATCTAGATGCACTGGTAAAAGATGTTATTGTCCCAAAAAGCCTGTTATCACTCAATAGCTACACAGCTGTCCCCAGATCTTGGTGGGCACGCAGAGCACTCCATGTCCTCCATCAGAAAAAAACACAAATGATCAGGCAGGGGTAGGCCAATGTAGCAGCAACGGGACAGTAACATCTTGAACTGACACAGTTGCTCGAGGGTGAACCTATTTTCAGATGAACTGCAGTGGTTTGAATTGTATGGGTTTGGTAGTAAAAGACATCCCCTGGGAGGACAAGCTTGGTTTCACTTTCATATAACAGAGCAATGCGTAATGGAGGGAAATGAAAGAAAAAACAACAAGTAAAACATGGGAACTCCATAGGAATAAATGAACTCACTAACGCAATCAGTTTTAAACAATAAAACAACTACAGAAACTTGTACTCTGTGTCTCTGAGAAGAACAGCTCCCAAATTCCCTAAGAATAACCCAAATAAATACTATTACAAACTAAGTAACTCAAAAACAATATAATCTATTTCTTTGTACAGAAATAAATACTTTAAGGACAGTTGAAGAATGACAAAAGGTACATTACCCATGTGTAAAAGGCCAGGCACATTCTCCAATATGATTTCTAGTTTCTGCTCAAAGTCTCTGTCATCTATATTTCCTTTAAAAGCTACAAAGATTGTAGAATCCTCAGGAGCAGCCTCCTGTTTCAGTTCATCTTCCTCCAGTCCTGAATCAAAATCCACCTCTAAGTCTTCCATAGCTGAGGAGTACAAGGAGGCATATGTATCTTTTAAGTTAGGTAGATCATCCAAAACCATTGTTTCCAACCACGGGAGCCTGTCAGACGTTAAGATGATGCTTGGAAGGGAAAAAAAGAATTAAAGTATAATTAAAGTATGTAAAGACAACAACTGCTTTCAAAGGCATATAAGATCATTGACAAAAACACTTACTGGATGACCCAGTGCTGGGGTCTGCAAGACAAACTGTGTGACTTTGAAAATCGTGGCCATTGCAGTATCCAAGCTGTTCATCCACTAGAACAAACAGAAGTGGTTGGCTAACAGAATCCGGCTGCACATGACTTGAGAAGTATTCCAGTCACCCTAAACGACAGCCCAGTAGAAAGGAAGGTAGAGGAGGAAAAAAAGCATTAAAAAATCAATTACATTCATCTCCACGTCATAGAGAAGACAAGCAAGCACCCAGGACCAATACCACAGTGCCTGACTGCCAGGAAATTATAAGTATATACAAAAAAATATAAATATATAAAAATATATGTACAGCAATACTTTAATTACAGAAAGACAGGAAAAACCACCACATTTAGTTTCAGGGCCTGCAGATGCAACAGGCACTCCTTTGTCCAGCAATATTACGAGGAGAAATTCAGCATTTGACAAATATTTTACTCACATCCAGCAAAACCTCAGACATATGATGCCTTCTTTCTAAAAGTCTGTAAAGATTTAGGTGTTTTCAGTTGCTTATGCACATTACAACCTGAAATTTGCTCCCCCTGTGCTAGCCCACAACTCCCCCCATGCCCCTATTGAGCTTTGATAAGAATAAATTCAGCAAATGAAGTCACATACCCGATGATTTTTACTTTGTAAAACACCTAGACTTTGCCACAAATTTTACTTGACATGATGACAGTAATCTAAGCTGTAATCTGTACAGAAGTACAAGCTATGATAAAAGTTATCCCTGTATCTGTGGTGAAAAATACCAATGTTTAGTTAAGATACACATTTTTCCCCTCCAACACAAGCCGTTACATGGGTTACAGCACTAACTCCTCCAGGTCAGGCTTCTGTTCTCACACTCAACGCTTTGCAAGTACTGCTGGAAGATTAAAACCATCTACACCAACAGCCCAAGCTGATGTCAAAACCAAAGAAGGGACCTGCTCCTGATGACTGCTGTCAAAAACAAATCAGTTCAACAGCCAGGACTGTCAAGACCTCATAACTCCAAAGCTGTCGGTATTCGGCACAACCCACCAAAAACATTTAATTCGGGACGAGAGGCCCTCGAATAGGATACAGATTGGGTGCTGGGCAGAAGTTCAAGTTCTCAACACAAATTAAAACCACAAGTCTGAGATTAAAGGTGAACTGCAGACACTGGCCAGAAAACAGGCCTTTTCAATAAAAAGATAACTATGTTAGACAAGCTTCGATTCGGCTCGATGTTGTACGCACACTCGTGTAACACTGCTGAGGGGACAGCACTGCAAACAAAAAAAAAGGACTCGGAAGTCACAAAACACCCGCAGCTTCCGATGGGGTCTCTGTACACACCTCACTGGCACTGTACAAAATACAGATTTATTTTCTCCCTTGCAACCCTACACAACACTAGGCAGGCTAAATGGCATTAATGAATAATCACCTATTTTACACATAGTTACTCTCTTCATACTGCAGCACCAGGCCCTCATTCCCAAACACGACTCAAATCTCAGATTAAAAACAAAGCTAAGTTTGTTTTACTGGCTCCGCTGCAGTCCTGCAACAGAAAGTAAGCAAAAATGTTCCACAGGCACTGATCGGTTTCTGTAGTGCTTTCGCAAGTTACTTATTATTGTCATGGAAATATTAAAGATGAGGAATAGAGACAATGATTTAAAAAATTCATTACCAGGTGAACACAGAGACAACTAAATCTTTTTTTCCTCAGATGCCTTGTTGCTCAGCTCTGTACCTAAACTGCAGGTCTGAGCGCTTGGCATCTCTGTTAAGTCAAACGACTCGGTTTCATGTCAGATGCCCAGAAAATGAGAATGACAATTAATCTGTGAAAAGCTGTTTTAATTGATTTTCACACATAATTTCTTGGACAGGGCACTTCCCTGCCAGAGCTGGCTTTATACCAACCAGGAGAGAATTCCTTCTCCTTCTGTATCCCTACACCATTCATCACACATACACCAACTTCAGGGAGAAAGGAGCTGCGAGTCCTACACAAATAATCTTTTCAACAAGCAAGCACAGTCATTCTGTGCACTGAACGAGGCACACACTCTGTGAAATATAAGCACTGTATTTTTAAGACAATTACATACAAAATTATTTATCTGAAAATCTTGAGTAAGTTTTTTCAGGGAGAGAGAGCCCAGCCCAATATAGAGGCTCTTACATGTCGAAAAATCACAATTACTTGGAAGGGGATGGGGTGTTCCACGTGCAGCAAGAAACATAAGTACTTCAGACAATCCCTGACACCAAAGGAATAAAAATATTTCTACAGGAACACAAACATTTCAAAACTTCTTTTTGAATGGAAGCATCTGAAGCATCCATCTTCTCTGTGGAAGAGCAGAAGACCCCCAGGCTGCTTAAACAGTGCTTTAAAGACTTCACGAAAATGCTGCAGCTTAGACCAGATTCCACCAACCTTGCCTCAAGGTGCTGAAATCTAACAGGATTTGTTGAAATTATGGCCCCTCATGAACACTATTAAAATATAGTTTGCTAAATCCCAAAGGACCACAGGCCCTGTTTTATTTGACTCAGAAAACCATAGGATTGCAGGGAAAGCTTGAGTTAAGGAAAAAAAAACAACACAAAATAGGACTGAGCTTTAAATTTTACTTTCTGGATAAGAACATGTAGCTACAGATACTTTTTTGGGGTTTTGGGGTTTTTTTTAAATTTTTCCACATGATGCTCCTTAAGAATCTCTACTACATCCACCTACTCTCCCTCTCAAACACACGCAGTTTACTCTGTTCCTTTATTCAGGTATAACTTATCTCAAGTATGACAGGAGGAAGTAATGATTTGTGAAATCTTCCTCTTCAGGCAGAGCACAGCACACCGTCCATCTCAAACCAAATGAATCCCAGCTGCATCCGTCGTCCTAACAAATTCTGTAATCTCCTGGTTATAGGGTTGGCTTCCATAAATCAGGAGCCAGCACCTGACCATAATTAGCGTGTACCTTTGCTCAACACTTCCACATGAACACGAAAGGCCTTTGGCATAGGCACACACAGGTAAAACTCTGGTCATTCAACAACTCCCGTAAACTAGATGAATGGCCAGTGGGCTATAGAGTATCTCTGATGAGCAAGAACCACTCCTGAATGGATCTGCATAGCCACAGCACATTTCATGAACCTGAGCATTCATGCTCACATGGCAGCACAAAAAGGTCTCTGAATATCATCCTCCATTCAAAAAACACGCACGACCTCCTGCCCCTGCACACTGTTGGTTTAGAGTTTCCAATTCAGTATTTCCCATTACACAATCGTTTCTAGAAACTCAGAGCAAGTCCAGTGCTACCACAAGGCAACCATCTACCCATGGACCCAGCCTGGGACAGGCTACAGCAGCACACAAAGTGTTACGCCTCTTTATTTATAGAAGTTGATCTTCTTCAGTATAGTCTGATTATTAAAAACACATAACTGAAGTGAGAGAGGCAGGGATAAACAGCCAGATACCAGACTAACAATGAAAACACATGTGCAGTCTCATATGGGGGTAGGGAGTGGCAGGAGACAGCCCATGAAGACTGGAGAGTCCAAACTGAAGGATACAGAGCGCGGCCTTGGCTGCTGGAGGCTGGAGCTCCCGGGTACACTCAGCATATGGATAAATCAACTGACCGACTACAACGTGCAAGACGGACTATCCAGAGGAAGGATTCCTGTAGGATACAGTGACACCACACTCTGTATCTGGGCTGATGCACAGCTGGGTCCCACTGCACACCACAGGGAAGCTAGAAGGCAGGTTGTCATGCCATGTGTTGTTCCCCACCACCAGCCGTGACAGCGAAAGGAAGGCTGCATGACAAACCCAGCAGCGTGTGACTGGGCAATACTCAGAATATCCTGTCCAGTTTTTGGGAGAGATGGGATTAGAGCAAAATCTGAAACAGACAGTCCTTGCTAACTGGAGAGCAGCCCAACACCAGAAAGCCAGCAGGCTCTGGAGCTCTAGCACCGCCAGATGGAAGTGCTGGTCTCTGGGTTAAAAAAAAAAAACAAAGGAAAAAGAAAAAACTGGTATCTTGATATCCTCATCCAAAATCCATTCAGCTGATCCAAGCCTAAGGTTATGCCAGTATGTTTCTTAAACCAAACCCGAAACCTCTTTTTGTTGCTTTCCTCTAATCACTGCACTACACAAAGCAGGTAAACCAAAACAAGGCTTGGTCTAGGAACTTCTCCGAGGATTTCTGGGACACAGCCTATTGATTTACAAGCTGTTTATACATTTCGGGCAACCCAGAATAAACACTTTCACAACTGATGTCACACCAGAACATGCACCCTCTCAAAACAAATATGCAGGGAGCCCAATTAAATAAAAAGTACTAAAATCCTGCTCTATGCCTGAAAAAGTACACTTCCAAACTACACAAAAGATTGGAAAGAGTGAGAGCAGAAGGAAGGAGGGACTGATGTCCTTCACTAGCAGATGGTAGAAGTTAGCCTGAGCAAGGTCCTTATGCTCACACTGACCATTATTTAAAGCTGCAACAGAGAAGAGGAAGAAAAATCAGTCCAGAAATGAGACTACAATCAAGTCCCTTGGGGAACCCAGAACCGAGAGTGAGGAGAAAAAGTCTTTGATAGCAGTAGCATCATAATTTCCAAAGGACACAGAACCCTCCTTGCTTCTGCCTTCACTGGAAAATGGTTTTCAAGCAACTTAATAGGAAAAAATAAAAGGAAATAAGAAAAAAAACATGGCTTGAATAACAGACGTGAAAGTTTTCTTGTTTCCTTTGTTTTAGCTGCCACTGAGAAAATATGTAAAGGTATTTATAACGTTTTTCAGGATGGGCACAGAGGAGGTTCAGCATTGAGAGAATA